CTTCCATCTTTCCCCATCGGGTTATTCTCAGCTCCGAGTCTTCCCAAGGTCTAGTCCTCATCTGTCGCACCAGCTCTCCCAGCCCATCCGATTTTCAGTTTTCTCCTCCAGCTCTGTCTTCGCTGTGTGCCAGGGGCTGCTAATAACGTGTCGGCGCCATCCCCTTGACCTCCACCCTTGTCACCCAGTGGGTGTGGGGCGGCGTGGGAAGCAGTGGTGGTAGCCTTGAGCTCTGGCATTTCTCCCACTTCCCAGACTGATACGCGTCAGCTCCACCTGGATTTATGGGGAGGGCCTGAGCCCCCGTGTGGCCTGGGAAGCACTCGCCTAAGTCTCGATTAGATAACAGGGGAGAAGGGTCAGTGGGCAGGGGGCAGGGGGGACAGAGCAGGTGAGGGAGTATTTCTCATAACCAACAGGTGAGGGAGTATTTCTCATAACCAGCTGACAGACCTAAAAGATGACAGGGAAGTACTCTGCTTTTCTTCCCTTTTCAGGTCAATAAATAATTTTTGTCCAAGGACAAACTACTTTATCTGGCATCACATTTTTTTTTCTTCTTTCACCAATTTTCCTAGGACATTCCTTCCCCTGCGAACTCCTCACTACAGAGGTTATAAACACAAGCCAATGTGTGGTGTAGGATCCATCACCAAGCGGAGTCTGTCCCTGGACAGTCCAAGTTCAGGGACAACAGGGTAGGAACACCACACAGCTCGTCTACAAGAGTATTTTGATCGAGGCTTAATGAACTGTCCAAAGCAGCTGGGAAGATGGATACCCTTGAAAGCACCTTTTCCAACGTGAATCCTAGAAGCCCGAAGGCCTATAATGCACCCGCAAAGATGGCAAACGTGTGCCATTTTGAGGGACTGAAAGTTCTGCGATATCCGCCTTCTCTGCAGGCGGAAAATAAAAGATCTAAGTGGTTGGTGTGAGATAAAAGGAATACTCTCTTAATAAGGAAAATAGAGTGCCAAAGTGAAATTATATTTTTGGAAGGGCTTCAGAAATAGGAAAGATTTTCAACTGTGGAGTATGGCTCTCTTAAAAGTAGCCAGTTTCTGTAGGTTCTTGATAATCCCAAGAAACAAATATCTAAGGCAATTATTATTATTCCTTCACTCTTCCTGAGAAAGTCAGGTGGTGGTTATGGATTCTAAGATTTGAAGGCAGAGCTCCCTGAGACTGGGAAGCCTTCGCACTCGACCAAGTCAAGTAGAAGCATCAGCTGCAACTCTGAAAACCAGATTCTGGAGTAAGAAGGGGCAAGGAACTCTCCAGCTGCTAGTGCCAAGGATTTGAGAGGAATTATCTTGAGTTTGAGATTGCAAATAATTAAAACCTTGTGGAGTGTCATCCTGTAAGAGAACGAGAAACTAGAATGCCAGCTGTGCCTTCCCCTAACTCCCCACCACGGTTACAGGGCTTAGGTTCCTACACGGAAGGCCAAAGGTGGATTTCTGGGGAGTCCCGTGAAGAGCTCCTAATTTGGAAACATTCGTAAGCATGGATGTATCCTGTATGTATAGTGCATAATATATGCATTCTTCTGGTGTTTTAAATATTTTCTTGAGATCCACGATACTAAAAGGTTACAACTCATAGGCTTATGAATTGCTATTTGAAGGGTGTTGAAATTGACCATATGGGACACCCATGCAGGAGGAAGTGTGTCCTGGGGTGTAGGTGGCTGTGAATGAGCCAGCCTCTTGGCATCTGTTTAAGCACAGACCTTCTTCCAGGGTTACGCCTTTGAGACTCCCATCTCTTCCAAGTCTGGCCTCCCCAGCCTGCCGGGCAGTATACCGTAAAGGGGTTTCTGGTCATCACTTTCTCTCTGCACACGCAGCTGTGTGTGGAACCCATGACCACCTGCTTCTGAAATTTCTCCCAGGCGACTGCAACTTCCTCTGAACTTCCTCTTTGTAGCTCTACCCACTTAAGTCATTTCCCCACTACTCCTTACTGGCCCTTGCCTTTCAGACACTCTAAAAAAAATCCTCGGCCCCTTGTCATGCCCTGCATGAGGCCTTCCCTATTGCACTGGACGGCCCTCTTCCTCCCCCTTCTGGATTTGCAAGCACGGTACACTTTCTCTGTCCTCTACCTAACGAGGGCTAAGATGGAATAAGTCTTCGGTCTCACGTTTATTCTCTCAGCTCAGTGGGAAAAATCTATAGCCCCAGAGAGTGTGGAGAAAACCTTGTGCTGGGCAGTCATAGAAGCAATATTGTTAAGGGCGCACACTCAAGGTGAGATTGTTTCACATCCTGACCTGTTTCCACAGAAAGGCAGTAACCCCACAACTCAGGTTAGGGAGATAAAAGAATGCACAAAAATGCTACCACGGTGTTTGCCCGCAGCAAGCACGGAATGAATGTTAAGTCTTATTAAAACAGCTGCTCATTTTGAGAGTTAATGCATTAACACCTTGCGATTTACCACATGTCCTCACAGTAAATCCTCTGCCCTTTTTAGGTAGAAACAACGTTCCTCATTTTTTGATAAGGGGACTGAACTTGTATGAGGTTAGCCAAGGTCTCCAACATCTTTTAAAGACTGAGCTAACATTGAAATTCTAATCGATTCTAAGTCTATGCCCTCAAAGCTACGTTTCTTCCCTTTTTATTTTTTGGTATAATTGAAGTCTCTGAGCCTCATTTTCCTCTCCTGTAAAATGGGAAAGTGACTACCTCCGGGGGCTGTGGGGGGATGGGAGAGCGCCAAGCACGGTGCCCGTGACATACCCAGCCCTGGGTCAGCTGTAACGATTCTGGGTGGCTCCCTCCTCAGAGTAGATAGATGCCTTGCCCCCTTGCTCAGTTTCCCGAGTTCCATTTCCTGTTCTCTTGAGTTCCATTTCCTGTTCTCTTCCGCATGAGAGTAAAGCTGCCCTCCAGCCCCCAGCTCAGGGAGGGGATAATTTTAGAAGAGAATCCCTGGCAGAGGTAAGCAGGGGGGAGGGAACGGAGCTCTGGAAGTCAGCCTGATACCCTTATTCAAGGGCAGCGGTGGGAAGGACACGGAATCCAGCTCAGAGGCAGATGCCGCTCTGTAATCCCAGACATCACCCCTCCAAAAAGTTTTCCTGTCCTGAAAAAGGGTACTTTCCTTACTCCAGCGATCCAGTACTTTAACCTCTCCCAGACTCTGCGCCCCTCCCTCACTCCCTCCCGGCTATCCATTTTTTCTGATCAACCTACCGGTTCCCGTCCACTCCGCCTGCCCGTGTGCCCTCAGTGCTCCTCTGCTGCCACTTCCCTTCCCTCCACTGGGCGACGTGCTTCTGAGGCCCCTTAGTCCCTTTCCACTCTTCCCCTGTGGATTCAACGACTACCCCCAGGCCCCACAGCTGCTGCCCACCCCAGGGCTCCTACAGAACTCCTGTCTCTTGCCGAGCCCCCGCGGCCCATCGGCACTTGCCTCTTCAGGCATGCACTTAGATCCATCGTACCCCAAGAACTCCCCAACTTACATACAGCCCACTGCTTAGATCTCGTCCTAGCTGCCCTAGAATTCTTACAACCTATGCCTACCCCAGAAAACCTGAAATCCAAATTGGACCACACGAGATAAGAAACCCTACAGACCTCATCACCCTCCTATTCCAGCCCGATGTTTCCCCAGCCTTCATCCCAAAATTTAAATCCAGGACCAACACTGCTTGCTGATGACTCTTCTGCCTCTAACTGCAAAATCCAGCGCTGCCATACTCTGGGCAGTTGATTGTGGTCATGACAACTAAGGTGGCCTCGTCTCAGGTGGGGACCCGCACATATGAAGAAGATCTGGCAACAAAATAGGAAGGGGCAGTCCTTGGGTAGTGGTGAGGAATGTCGGAAGGGGCCAAGAAAATAAAAACAGGGGTTTCATAAGATTATTGACAGACACAGAGACACCAGGCACACGGCACTAATAAATATGAGCATTTATTTGGCACCTGATGGCAACACAACATCCTGGCAGTGGGAAGTGGAAAAGTTCCATCACCCAAATACTTCCATGCAATACTGACCCAAAGGTAAGACTTGGCTACAAGTCTCCAAACTGCCTGGCTCACAGAACAAGTATGTATTGAGCACCTGGACTACCGCAACGGCCGAGCACCGTGCCAGACCATGGGGGATGTGCAGGAAGTTGTCTCACATGTGACACGTCTTCAGGAGCTAGTAATGCCAGTGGATAAACAACACATGAAAACAAATACCAAACTGTGTGTATGGTCAGTATTCTAGCTAGGGCTGCCTGCTTGCTTCCTTCCTTCCTTCCTTCTCTCAACAAACATTTATTGAAGACCTACCATGTGCCAGGCACTGGGTACGTACTGGTGAACAAAAGGGACAAGGTTCTGGCCCTCACAGAGACAGAAAGGAACAGATGAAGCAAATATAACATATTCGTTACAGACTGCCGAAACTGCAGTCAAGGAATTAAACAGGCTGTAGTAATAAAGAAACACAAGCTCATTTAGAGAGATAATGCCCTGGGAAGGCCTACCCAACAAAGGGGCATTTGGGCTGAGTCTTGAATAAAGCCACCCAAGCCAAGAGCGGTGAGGCGTGGCACTCAGTGGACCCCGACAGAGCGTGATGGTTTAGGACAGGAATGATCTTGAATGTTTGAAACTGTGGAAGCCACTGGAGCCGTCACCTAGAGAGACAGCAGCACTCACTGGGGGTCAGAGGGAAAGGCAGGAGCCCTCCAGGCCAAAGTAAAGAGTTTGGATTTTATTTGAGGTGTAATAGGAAACCAAAGGATTCCAAACAGAAGTGACACGACCAGATTTATATTTACAAACCCCAAACCAAAACCTGTCACATAGACATCAGCTTGAAACGGCAAGAGTGGAAGGAGAAGACCTTCAAGCACAGGAAAGCTTCATACAAGCACAGATAAATACGACTTCCAGAGCAAACGAATCCCATGCACTGCAGAAACAACGGCCTCCCTGAAACGGAAAGACAGAGGTGGAAGGGGAAGTGGCACATAAAATCAGAAGGGATTTAATACTGAAACAGAAAGCAGGAACAAAGGACTACATCACATCCTGGAGCAGCCAAATAATCCGATTAGTATTTTAGACCGAAATGGTGGCAGAAGTAAATAGGACGAAATGAAGGTAAAGACAGAGAAACAAGAAGCAGAAAGTAACTAGGAAGCTTTTATAGAAAGGGACATTTCATAGAGAGAAAAAAGGTGACACAGATTACGGAACATGAGGAAACACACCACTCTTATCTGCCTCTGCTGGCACTCTGCCAGGCTCGGCTCGCAACGAAGCTCCGAGGAAGCAGCAAGGACAGGATCTCTGGAACTTCCACGGGCAAAGATCAACGAGCTACAGATGCGGGCATACAAACCCTAACCTCTGCTCACAGCTTGGATTCCTCGAGTCTAAAGGCGCCACGAGTGGCGTTGAGAAGACTGTCCTTCCAGCGGGTGGCCCTGCCGTGCTGCAGGCAGGCACAGGTCAGTGCCGCACGCCCAGCAGCAGAGGGTGTGTGTCTTTGGCCCCGTTTGCCCCTTCGAAGCCGAATGAGAAATGCCTACGTTAAATGAGGACCCCCCCAAACTCTCACTCTGGGACAAATGGGGGTGGGAGAATGAAAGGAAAGACAGGAGACCTCTGAGCCACAGTGACCAAAGCGCTACCTACGAAAGCCCTGGGGCAGGAAGTGAGCACACACGACGAGGCGATCCCCACGCCCCCTCCTCGCGGAGACACCGTGTTCACACCTCCCGACAGGCTCCTCTGCTGCAGCCTGACGCTCCTGGCAACAGTCCAGGGCTAGCGCCACAGGGACAGCGCGTCACACCGGAGGAGCCGGCCTGCAGTCCCGGACCCAAGGGTGGAGATGACAGGTGTGTGAAACCAGCCCGGGAGACTCCCAGTCCCTGAGGGGGAAGGACAGAAACGTAACCCTGAAGAGAAAAGGCTCCGCCATGCCTCCGGTGGTCCAGTGGCCTCGATCTGGCATGAACGACGGGGAGATGGCATCACGTGGGAGGGTGTCCCGGGAACAGGTAGAGGTGACGGCACAGGGTGCTACAGTACTCAGACATCTCCTTGCACCGGTGGAACTCTGTGCCCGGGGCGTAGCCTTCACGCTGCTTGATGAGCGCGTTCACCTGGAAAGGCAGAAACCAGCGGGCCGAGTCTGAGAACCTGGTGTTTCCATGACACCAACGGCACAACAGAAAGGGTGGAGCGACGGCAAAAACCAGTGTAAGGGAGGAGGAAGGGAGGAAGGGAGGAGCGGGGAAGGGAGAAGGATGTGGGGAAAGGGAGGAGGAAGGGAGGAGGAAGGGAGGAGGAAGAGAGGAAGAGAGGAAGGGAGGAGGGAGGGGGGTGGAAGGAGGGGGAAAGGACACCAACGGCAACAGAAAGGGTGGAGCGACGGCAAAAACCAGTGTAAGGGAGGAGGAAGGGAGGAAGGGAGGAGCGGGGAAGGGAGAAGGATGTGGGGAAAGGGAGGAGGAAGGGAGGAGGAAGGGAGGAGGAAGAGAGGGGGAGAGA